AAGCATGTTGTCCGACTTCCGGTGGTAACAAATGTCTTAATTTGTTGTAAAGTATCTTCTTTATTAGGGATTTGGTGGTAAATGATTAGATATGTAAGGATAAAGCATTGACCTATTTTATTTAAATAAAACTCCTACACAATTGGTGTTTTCCGCCAGTTTAGGTAATAGTATCAGTGACATTAAGATAATATGTCGATTAAATACAAACAGACATCAAGACATTTGTATTTATGTAAAAACAGCCTACCCGGATGTCCGGGTCGGATGGAAATGTCGTCCGGGCCGGATGGATCCATTCGGCCCAAACGACTGGGCCGAATGTAAATGATCGTTCGGGTCGATTGTTTTCATTTGCCAGGGCCAATTTTACAAGCGATCGTAAATTTGTCTGAAATTATACATGTAGATAAATTTTTTTCTCGTTTTTTGTTAAAAAAAAATTATAGATCCATTTAAGATCATAAATTTTTTATCTGCCTATATCGAAATAAGATTTATAGATTAAAATAATGTACTAATTTAACAAAAGCGAAATTAAAAATACGTAAATATACTTATCGATACCAAGCGATGGCTGTGAATAATATTTACTTGTTGAGCATTTGATAAATTTATCTGTTTTTAAGTTTGAAGCAGATGAAAAATGAAACAGTTTTTATCTATATTGGAGTAAACAGGTAAAAAAGTGATTTTGGTTTTAAAATTTTAAGTGGAAAGTGTTTGGAATTCTTTATAACTTTAAAATTGTATTATTGTCTTTTAAACAATATCATATTTTTGTAATTATATATAACATGTTTAAATGTAGTTTTGTCTTTTACGAATTGGAAAGCTATTGTGGTGAGTGTTTAAAAAAATTGGTAAAAGTGAAAAATGGCAATATTGACTTTTCTCATTTGAAAAGTACCCATATCACTCGAAAATAATTGAGGTTAGTATGACAATCATACTACATGTACTCTCTCTTACACTTTTTTTACACTCTTATATTTGTCATCATCTATACTATTGATTTTAAAGTCATCAATCATATCACCACGCAAATTCCCTCCACATGGGGGGTATGTCAATTTTGTTGCAAGGAAAGATATACATGTAGCATTATTCTTCTTTAAATATGAAGGAGATTTATGATATTAAGCTCCCGTTTGACAAATATTATTTGAGAACTCTTTAATTATCATACTAGTTTTAACAATATATTTACATATTAAAATATTTTGCACGTAAACAAAAAAAGAAAAAAAATCCTACTTTTTAATCATATGTTTTTCAAAAAATCACTATTCAAAACTCCATTTTTTTCAAAATAATGATCAATTGGTCATCAAACGAGGGCTAACATAAATCTCATAAATGTATTTAATATTGTCTCTTTAATTTATTCTTAGTTCATTAGTACTTTTTTAAATTTAATAAATAAAAACATATGTATTGTGTATATAAATAGTGATATAATTCATTGTTTGATGATCATTATTTGAAAATCTTTTTTTTACGTACTCATTTTTAATCATACATTCACACAATAAAATATTCAACATGTAAATTTAAAATTTTTTCTTACTTTTTAATCACACGTTTTCTAAAAATCACTATTCAAAACATTATTATATTTTTTCAAATAATGAAATATTAAATGGGGATATGTTAAAATTAATAAAAAATGCATTGATCATTTTTGCCATCTCTAAAAAGTAAAAATGACGTAGAGGGTAGGACCGGCCCCACCCACCTAGTTGCCATCCCCCGACCCCCAAGAGAAGGCAACGTTGCAGGGCTCAGTATCACTCACAATACCACTTATCCTATTCCTACTTCACCCCTTCACAACTTCACACGTCTCCTTCTTCTTTTCCCAATTTTCTTCCTTTTCATCTCCAACCCAACTTTTTTGCTGCTGAAATACTCCATAGCACCATTCCTATATCAGCCATTCAAGGTCTGTCATTTTGCCTCATCTTACATGCATTTTTCATGTCTATACAAAAGATTGAATTCATGAGCAATGGATATGCACTTTTTTGTGTTAAATGATACAAACTGAAGTAAATTTGTTACTATTGTATGAACTCTTGGTCCACAATAGAATGCAGTTCCCACAGCCACAATCCTGATACTATTGAGTATAGCTCAAGAATTCTGAAGAAAAACACCATGGGTCTTATCTTGTTAGCTTTCTGATATCCCATTTTTTATCCCCATAATGACGAGGAGGATTTTGGTGGGCTTTTGGGTCTGATTATGGGTTGAGAAAGAATTGTAATTTTTTAGTAGTAAAATCGATTTTCCTATTTTAAGTCAGTTCATCATTGAGAATGTGATATTCACATTGAACCTTTCGATGTCAATTTTATCATTTCTTTATCCAAGACTTCTAACGGGTTCTATCTGAAGACTGAAGAATAGTCACAAATGCGGCTTGAGAGGGATGCATTCATCTTGTGGTTTGCCGAGAGTTTTTCACCTCAGTTTAGAAAAGCAGTTTTGTGAAGATGTTTTTTTAATGAATCTTTCGTTGTGATTCACAGCATATATCTTAGATTCCAGCAGCAGATTTGGTAGTTAAATATCTGATTGGAATTTAAAATCAAGGTGGAAGATTTGTGAATTAGTAATGAGAATTCTCAGTTAGCTTATGCCAGGGGCTCAATACTGGCTGTTTTTGTGAAGAATATTTTCTAGTACTGCAATTAAGAGCAATGTCTCAGAATTTGTGATGAAATTTCTCGATCCAGAATTAGAAGGATCTTAGGATGTTGAGTGCAAAGGATATTGAATTTTCTCAACCGTAGAGGCTGGTTCCAGTTGACAAATGCGTCCTTCAGAACCAAGTAGTCAAAAAAAATAGTATGTTGCAGCTATGAAAACTTTGGTCAAGAACATAAATTAATCTAACATTATAGCTGATCAACATGCAAATTTAAATTTAGCCAACAATCATTGCCTTTTATTGAGATTTGTTTTTGACTTTATTAAGATTTACTGTAATATCTGAACTGACTCTTTAATTTTAGTTCGTGCATTTTATATTTAGTGGAATAATAATATTGGGGCTCTTGGGTTCTATGCTTGATAGAAAAACTGCTCATAAATGTTTTGACCCTCTGATGTGCACACACATATTTCACTCTTCCATATGCATTTAAGTGTGTGTGTGTGTGTGGTACCTTGTGGATTGCCCAAGTTTTCTTGATACTTTGCCGACCAATTTAAACATAAATGAAATAGACACTTTAATTAGTTAAATTACTTACAGGTTGCTGTTAGCAGTCATCACACTGAAGCATGGCATGCTCCTTACGTTCGGTGGTTCTCTCCAGTGATGAAAGCTTCCATCTTCACACTAAATTACGACAAACTATTGGTGAGAAGTATAACGCAACCGGGGATTCTTATGGTAGTGTAGCGGTGAGAATGTATTCCAGTAAATGGAACTCCAGATACATGAAGTTGAAGGCTAATCAAATTTATAGAGGTCTTGGGTCAAGATTTTGTAATCTGTTCCAACATGAAAAGTACAATGTTTCTTCAATCTTTGACAATAGAACAAGTAAACCTGAGGTAACCTCTAATATTAGGCCTTTGTTTTTCAATTGTACTTCATCTATTAGCTTGTTAAACTCTGTCAAAACTTTTTGCAGAGAAAAATGAAATTCCAATTTCAAGATGCTGTGACATTCATTGTTTGGAAGCAGTGGAGCTACGTTAGCAGTGCAACACTCTTAATTATATTTACATTATTGGTCATTCCAAATGCTAATGCTGTAGATGCTCTTAAGACTTGTGCTTGCTTACTGAAGGAATGCAGGCAATACATTCTGTTAACCACTTCATCCAAAAGTTTAAGTTATTAAAGAGAGCCACATTTATTTATTTAAATTTGCTCTTAAACGCATCGATATGTAAATAGTTTGCTTCTAAAACTGATATTTCTTACCGATCACATTGCACGTATCTGTTTTCATCCCATGTTATAATGTTTCTCAAACAAACTTTGCTTACAGTGTTTTAGATTTCCATACACCATCTTTTGATGATCACTACTGTTATAATTGATCTGCAGATTGCTAGTTAACTCATAAATGTATCATATATTTTTTCACATCCATATTTGACCTCTGATTCCTCTCTATACTTATGATCACTTTTCATGATCGCATTATGGGAATCTACCTCGAAAGTTGTACAAGTTATGGCAGCACTTGGAATTCTCGTCCTGTAGATTTTACTACAAATTTCCATCTATAGTGTTGATTCATTATCCTCCACTTCTGTAGGGTGTTTGGAAGTGATGTACATTATAGTAACACATAAATTGGATCCTTGTAACAACAGTACTAGATGGTGGATGGAGGGGGGGGGGGGGGGGAGCGTTTTTTTTTAGTTTTTATTTTTTCCCCCCCCCCCCCCCCCCGGGATCGTATTTTTTTAGATTTTATGTTTTGGGAGTGGGAGGATGGAGAATGGGGTTTCTAATTCTGTGTTTTAATTTAAACCCTAGGAATGACTGCATTTTTATTATTTTTTCATAATTTATTTAGGTGCACTCGATCTACTTAAAGTAATTCCTCCAGTTATGCCTCTCTAGTTTTATGCCAGCCTAATAAAACTTATATTGATCTTGTTCAGCCGAATATTCTTGTACCTATGACATCTTATTGCTGTGTATTTGTGCTGCAAAGAACCTCGAACGTCTCCTTTACCCCTGTTCAAGCTCTAAAACCTCACCACTTTCTAATCCCCTTCAGAAATAGCAACCCAATATCTTCATAAATCTTTGACCGCCTCAACGTGAATAAAGCTTGTATGAATGTTGCCATTTCTCTTCAAATTCCAACTTTTCTTGAACTTCTGTTCTCTGATATTATGCTTTGTTGAGTCAAGTTTTGTACTGTTTACAATCATTCCTAGTAAAAAGAACTCCTCAACAGTGGAGATGATATGGTTTGTGGTCTCTTCAGTGACTAATTCGTGGTTTTTTTTTTTTTTTCTATGTAACCATGCTCTCCCAAATTTTCCTTAAATAACAAAAGGAATAAATATAAGTACAACTATGCACACAATATGCGTATTCTTAAGGTTCCGACTTTCATGCAGGGTGGAGCTTGCCAAGTGCGTTGCAAATCCATCATGTGCAGCTAACGTTGCTTGTCTTCAAACTTGTAATAACAGACCTGATGAAATTGAATGCCAGGTAAGCCATCATTTTTTTCACAATCTATTGCCTTCTTATTGGTGTACCAAACAAATCTTTATTGAAAAAAAATGAAAGTATGGCTTTTTCTTTCACAGATAAAATGTGGCGATTTGTTTGAAAATAGCGTTGTAGATGAGTTCAATGACTGCGCAGTCTCACGAAAGAAATGCGTACCACGGAAGTCTGATGTAGGTGAATTTCCTGCACCTAACCCCACTGATCTTGTCCAGAACTTCAACATGAACGATTTCAACGGGAAGTGGTTTATAACTAGTGGTTTAAATCCTACATTTGATACCTTTGATTGCCAAGTGCATGAGTTTCATACAGAATCAGACAAACTTGTGGGGAATTTGTCATGGCGAATACGGACTCCAGATACTGGATTTTTCACACGATCAGCTGTACAGAAATTTGTCCAAGACCCAAAATATCCTGGAATACTGTACAATCATGACAACGAGTTTCTTCACTACCAAGATGACTGGTATACATAACTTCATGTCTATGCCTACTGCTTGCACGTGTGATGCACAAGCATTCATGCATGCTTGAAACAGTTTATATTCGTTGGCATATATGCAGACAACTCACCAGTTGAATGCACGAATACTATGGTACATAGAGTCATTGATGGATTGAGTATTACAATGTAAAAAAGTGCTAGGCATGATCACAATTAGCAAGGAAGAGTTCAGGGGTTGACTAGCTCTGAATGACACTTATCAAAGAAGATGAATACAGGAACTTCATCTCTTCAGTTTTGAAAACGATTGACCTAAGATTATGTTGCATCCAATAACTTGTCTTGCACAAGAATTGAATTGCTATAAAAGCATTTACAAAACCCGTGGGTATGTACTGATTAGTCTGATTTCCATGAGAAACTGGGATTTCATTTTCTGGAATCCTGATTATACTTGGATCATTTAGAATGCAATTTTCCAGTGGAAAAACTAATAAAATATGACAATCATTAGAATGACGACTCAAGTGCCCCCTATAGTCTAATAAAGGACTTCATATTGAAAGTTCATTTCAAGAGTTATTATGAATAGTTACATGGCCTTTATTTTCCATAGCCAGATGAAAAGGGGTGGTCTTTGTCTCAAAAGCTTTTATTGCTAAATGGTCATGAAATTCCATGTTCTTGACTTGTCGGATTTCTGACTTCTAAATTCCAAGTTTTCATCCATACATGCAACTTTTTTTTATGATTTTTTTTAACCTTAATTATACATGCACTTAGACAATACAACCTACTAATCTAATGTTGAAATTGATGTCTACAGGTACATTCTTTCATCGAAGATAGAAAACAACCCTGATGATTATGTATTCGTATACTATCGAGGCAGGAACGATGCATGGGATGGTTATGGTGGTGCTGTGGTGTACACGAGAAGCGCAGTTTTGCCCGAAAGCATTGTACCTGAACTGAAAAGGGCTGCTCAAAGCATAAACCGCGACTTCAACAAGTTTATAAAGACAGACAACACGTGTGGACCCGAACCTCCTCTAGTCGAGAGATTGGAAAAGACGGTGGAGGAAGGAGAGAAGACAATAGTAAAAGAAGTCGAGGAGATAGAAGAAGAAGTAGAAAAAGTGAAGAACACAGAGATTTCTTTGTTTCAGAGATTAGCAGAAGGATTCAAAGAGCTCCAAAAAGATAAAGATTATTTCCTAAATGAATTGAGTAAAGAAGAAATGGATATTTTGAGTGAACTGAAAATGGAAGCAGGGGAGGTGGAAAAGCTCTTTGGTGAAGCACTTCCAATAAGGAAATTAAGATAGTTTCTAATTAAGTGAGATGGCTGTTTTGAGTATATATTAATTCAAATTTACAGTATATTTACTTGTCAATTCTTTCAGATTATAGAAATTCAGGATGCCATCTGTGTAACAGTTTGTTTTTTCGCTTTCTTTATATATATATATATATATATATNATACAGAAATGATCTAATGAGCACCGGTGCTCATCTTATCCTAAGCACCGATGAGTTGGCACATTAATTCATTGGTGGATAAAGATTTTGTGAGTTCCAATCCACCAATGAATTAATGTGCCAACTCATCGGTGTTTAGGATAAGATGAGCACCGGTGCTCATTAGATCATTTCTGTATATATATATATAAATATATTTATTTATTTATTATTATTATTATTTTTTAAAACCATCTAAACTCTGTGGGATATATTTATCTATTAAAGTAAAATCTTTCTTAAAACCCACAGAGTATTAAATTTGTTGTGTGGTTGTGGAATGTCCACAGAAGTAAGTAGAGAGAGGCTGAAAATGGAGGCATTAAAACTTAAAATCGGTAGGTAAGTCTAGATCGATGTATTCAGATTCGGTTCAAGCTTGTTGCGGACTCAAACTAGCTTGTCTAAATGAAGATATTTTACATAATGTAATATTCCATTCAAAAGTTTTCTTGTAGTTTAAAACGATCAATATGTAGAATCAAAATAAGTGATTGTTGAGATTCGTATAGGAACATTCACTTTGTATTTTAAAGAGAATGTTCAAAAATACATTTTCTCTCACTCAGACAAGAATATGGTTTAAACGTGGGTTAGAACTTAGAAGGTCTTTAAAATATGATATAAGGATCGGATTGACTCATCAACCCACTATATTGCAAGTTGGGCCGGTCTAGTCCACCATGTTCTTTTTCACATTTTTTTTTCATTTTTTAAAAATGGAAATTACATCCCCACATGGTTTTTGACTTCTCAATCCAAAAATCAAATTTAAAAGTTATTTGTTCAGGTAATAATTCAACTTTTAAATATTAATAATAATAACAACAATAATAATAAATTAATTTACCAACCCTCACCAACCAACCCACACCCCCAAACCGTAACATCATCTCCCTCCCTCCCTATCTATCCATCTTCTCTCTCTTTATTCAAGTTCACAATATCTTCTTCGACGACTCTCTTATCCGACAACTTATTTCCAACGCCGCACGCAAAGGTTCGACAGAGTGTCATGTAGCACAGTTGAATGTGGAGGCAACTTCTCTTCTCCGACAAATTATCTCTAGTGTCGCACGCAGAGTTTTGAAGTAGCGACTAGCACCGTTGCGCACCGCGGCAACTTATCTTCTCCGACAACGTATCTCCAACGCTGCGCGTAATGACACCTCTGTTGTGCTACGAGTAGTCATCTCTGTAGCGTTGTGGGTATTTTTTTGTTGTTTGTGCTATAGGTGGTTTTATGTGGGTGATTTTCTTGTTTCTGTGGGTGGGGTGGTGTTTCTTTTTGTGGTGGTGATGGTGGTGGTTGTGCAGGATGTAGTAGTGATGACGATTGTGGCGATGGTGGTTGTGCAGTGGTGGTGAGATGGCAGTGTTGGTGGTGGTGGGGTGTCGTGCATGTGGTTCTGATGGTGGTGGTTGTAGGAAATTTAGAGTGTCCGTGACCAACTATTTGGTTATGGTGGTAGTAGTGGTGGCAGCGACGGCGATGACAAGGGCGATGGAGGGGGATGAAGAGTGCTTGTGACTAATAAATTGATTAATTTGTGAATTAAAAGAACGTGTAATTGTAACTAAATTTGGAATTATGACTCAAGATTTGGTAAGTTGTAACCAACTAATTCGATAATTTGTGACTGAAAAATAATTTGTGATTAAGTAATTCGATAATTTGTAACCCTGAAATAACTTGTAACTAATAAAGTTTATGATTTGTGATCGATGAATAAATTATCTTTAAAATTTTTGATTTGTGACCGTTGAATATATTGTGACCTATACAATTGTAGATTTGTAACCGAGAAATAATTTGTGACCAATAAAATTTTTTATTTGTGATCGAGAAATAATTCGATAATTTGTGACTAAATAGCATAGTATTGTGACCTTAATATATCTAATTAATAATTTTTTAATTATTCATTTAATTAATAAAATTTAATTATCACCTGATTTTTGAAATTTTATAACTTATTTCTTAATTTTGAAATTGTGTATTGCCATCCACTTAAATATGAACTTTTCCCTTTAAAAAATTTAATACGGTTGTCAAGTTGTGTCATAATTACAAGAATAAATATTATAATGAGGAATATATATTTGGTAAAATTTATAAATTAAATTTTTTTAGTCCTTTTGAAATGAAATAAATAATTTTAAATTGAAAATTTGTCAGCCCAAGTTAAAATTTAAATATTTAATTTTGAAATTTATTTTTTATTTAAATTAATTTATTAATTATTTTGATTTATTTTGTTTATTCTTTAATATAAATATATTTAGTAAAATTTATAAATTACAAAAAATTATTCCTTTTTAAATGAAATAAATAATTTTAAATTGAAAATTAATAAATTGTATATTTTTTTAACCAAATTACCAAATTCATTTTTTCTCTTTTTTTAAAGTTTAAAATTATTTTTAATTAAATATTAT